TCAAGAACACAGTGCAGGCTTGCAGCATCTTCAGTGGTCGACGAGTGGTAATTTCTTATTCAGTAGTGCCGGTAGAGAGGAGTTCTATGTCTGGAGAATCAGATGGATACCTGGTTTTGGTATCGGTGTTTTGAATGAAGGTGAAGCTCCAAAGACGCGAGAAAATTCTGATCTACGAACGACCCATTTCGACGTCGTCAATGTTGGGGCGGATGGTACCGGTTGCGAATCGTTCCTAATTGCCATGGCCTACTCTAATTCGACAACAAAGGTAATGAATGAAACCTCCAGTCTACTCCAGAATTCCTCTGTAACATTGTATTAACAGGAGTACCCTATAGGTATTCCACTACTTGTCGTCTTCGTCCCAAGAGGGTGGGGTGTTTACGCTCCTTGCGCAGGGGTTATATACAAGCAACTGCCTTACACAGATCCGGCTAGTGATATCGGGTTGCGAGCTGCGACTTGTCACAGGCTCGACAGATGGACACATTGCAGTTTGGGATTTAGCAGCGTCAATCAAGCCATATTTTGATTTTGGCGGCAGATCTATCACGCGCAGGGGTGGCATACCGTTACCTGCCGAGCCGGCGTCGATTAAATGGGGGGATCGCAAACCCGCCCACCAGAGCAGCATTAAAGCGATGGAACTGCTCCCCCTATCAGACGCGCAAGTCCTGCTCATCACTGGCGGAGATGATAACTGCCTTGCCTTTTCAACTCTCGGGTTCTCGGCCCCTGAGTCTGGTGCGAGCCCTATCGACCGCTTCTCAACGGCTTCCTACCCGTATGCGCACGCTTCGGCAATTAATGCTATTACCCAGGTGCGCCGTACCGTTGGTGGTGTAGATGACCGGGTGGTTAAATTCCTGGTCGCTTCTAGCGGGAACGACCAAAGGATCAAACTATGGTCTGCATCGGCTGATTGTGTAGACGGGGATGTTCAGGTATCTCCGCAGGGCGACATGTACACCGCCGTGGCCGATCTGTCCGCGATAGATCAATTCATGGTGCAAGTCGATGGAGTGTACAGGGAGCACCTTGTTCTCTGTGGTGTTGGGATGGAACTGTGGGAAGTTAGTGATGATGCTAAGCAAGTATATGTATGCAGCGATTAAGCATCTCTCCCCAGTCGAGCTTAAGATTTCAATACTATATAGTATATATGCTTGCATCGGATTTTACCCCAGAATTCCCCTGATCATCTACTTCTATCAACTTTCTTCCTCGCTTCTTCTTTTTTACGACTTTTTCTATTCGGTTTTTTTCTTCTTTTATGCTTTCGGATGAGTAAAGTATCACGTGACTGTTCTTGATATCGCAGAGAAAAAAATAACCCAAAGCGGATAAACAACTTCACAAACATCGAAGACGACGAGGAGGGATAACGAGGGTACATCACGACAGGATACGATGGAGAAGGACGAGGCCGTGGAGTACCTTGAGAGCTTGGTGGACAAGATCCTTCGTGTCCATACCTCGGACTCGCGAGTGTTCGTAGGTTTGTTCAAATGCACAGATAACGTGGGTGATACTTGCAAATATTCGTCAGGTTCGGCTTGGACTTGCGGGTGATTAAACTCTGGATATGGTGTTATATATAGGAACGAAACATTATACTGAGCAGTACGCATGAGTATCGCTGCCCAACTGAGCCAGCTATCGTCTCTTCAGAGGAGACCGGTAGCCCGAAAGCGGCCAGCAACGAGCCATTCGACCTCAAGGCCGACATGTCCCAGCGGTTCATTGGACTGGTCGTCATCCCTGGCCAACACATTACAAAGATCGAGCTCGATAAACCTACGACAGGTGCAAAAGCTGGCTGAAAAGAAGGCCGATGTCCTAAGCATGCAACAAAAAGAGACTTCCCCCCTCTCCTCTCCCCTGATGAAAATGATGAAGAAGCCAGGCGTGCCATGCTCCTCGCTGAGCAGAGATTATGTGAACTCACTGGCAAATTGATCCTAGCCATCATCGG